TTTTTTTGTCAGGTGTTTGTCCAGCCTGCAGCACACTCTGATACCTGCTGGGGACAGCCAGGTCACTTCTCTCTCCCCCTTCCCCGGGTTACGTGACCCAGAAGGTCTCACTGGCACCCCGACGATGCTGGCCACCCCACAAACCAAACATGGACCTCACCACCTCCCCACCTTGACTCTTGCAGAGAGCTGGGCAACACAGCAGGGGCTGCACTTCAGAAAGGTGGTTTTGGTGTTTTCCTGCCTGATGTGAAACTCATTTCGGTGGCTTGGGTGGCCGTAGGACAGATGGGGTGGCTGCTGGCCACAGAGAGGCTTGGCTGCCTTCATCTACCATCATGTCTCATGGGGACTCCTGCCCAGGACACCGCTGCTCCCCTTTTTTACAAGGCTTGACCTCTCCATCCTGCTTCCAGTCTCTCTCCCAGCACCTCTCCAGCCTCACCCACACACACAGCTTGGCACAGGGCTAAATTTATCACGCGGGTTTTGCTGTTGGAGGCTGTAAGCTGGTAGCTCTGATGGCAGATGGGGAAGGGTGACAACCACACACAGCGAGCCCAACTGTCCTACAACGTGGCCCCGAAGGAGCCGCGTCACAACTCCCCCTGACGTCCATCTGATGAGTCCCTTAGGTATTTAAAGTGCTAGTTATTATCTACAGCCAGGCATTTATTATGCCATTTGTAATTGTTGCTTCATCTCAATGCTGCGTGCGCCTGCCAGCTCCAGCCCCTGAAAGGGACTCTGTGTTTGCTTTGTGCTGCCTCTTCTAAGTGGGCACTATGCTTGGGCACTTCTTTCTCCGTGCCTTGCACCGGGTCTGTTAACCACCTGGGGGACAGCAGCCCTCTCTCCTTTCTCTCCCCATGTCTGGCTGGTTGGGTATCCCCTCCCCAAATGCAGTAACGCCGTGCCAACTCTGTAGCATCTTTTTCTGTAGCATCTTTCTCTGTAGCATCTTTCTCTTTATCATCTTTCTCTGTATCATCTTTCTCCGTAGCATCTTTCTCTGTAGCATCTTTCTGCCGCACTCCGAGCCATCTCCAGCTAAGCTGTCTCCTTTGCACTGTGGCTTGCCCTGAACCACACCTTTGCCCCTCTCCCATCATCACCATCACATCTTTGAATGGGGTTGGAGAAGCTCAGTGCAGCCTGTAGCCCTTCCACCCTGTGCATAATCCCTTTCTCTTTAGGGTCCTCCAAACCCAAGGGGTGGACACTGCCTTGACACAGCAAGAGGCACAAGCTTGGGGTAGTTTTCTGGACATCCTCATCCCTGTGCTAATGCCTGCTCTCTCTCTGCGGTCTTGATTGGCCCTAATTCTTAGTCAAAATGAGTGTTTAGGACTCACACCCACCTCTTCTTCCTGCAAAGCTCAGATATATTGGAGAGGAGTAATTGGCACCAGGGTAGCTTTGCACTGCAGAGGAGGGTAGTTTTCAACACCCTTGAGTAAGGGAAATAACCCTTTGCTCTTCAGCTATGCCCAGGATGATTTATTTCCCTTTATATTAGCCATATGATGCAAAATTCTTTTCTGCAGACAAATTCAAGCAAAAAAACCCCAACCAACCAGCCAGTCATGCTTTAAAGCAGAAAAAAAAAAGGCAAAAAAAAAAAAAGCCTGACTGTTTTCCTGCAGGCTGTGGGGGATTCTGTCTCCGCTACTGCAGGATGTGTAAATCCAACACAATGAAATATTAATTATTAGAGTCTGTCCAACTGGGATTCCTCAGTGCTTTCAGAGAGCTAAATAATTCTGGCACACAGGACAAAAAAAACACACAAGTTCCCCCCCTCTTTTTTTTTTTTTTATGAGAAAATATTGTGTGAGGAGTAAATTAGAGCTTTTGAGCATTCGGGCTGAGGGACAGGAGGGGGCTTGGATTGCTTCAGGGCGGAAAATGCAAATTCCTAAGTAGGGCATGAAAAGGATCGTGGTCTAATGAAGAGGTGAAGGGAGGTGCATCACCCAGTGTGGCTCCTTCAGCGTGGAGAACTGCCCTCGCAGCGTGGCGTAACTGTGAGAAGGAGGGGGTAAAGGAAAGTAGAAGTCGATTAATAAAAGAGAGAGCACATCTCTGAGGACTCCCGTTATGCAGCATTTCAGAAGAAGGCATTCATCCAGAGCAGCCATGGGCACTAACCCAAGGCAGACGTGCTTGGCACAGCTCAAAGCCCCTTTTGTCCCCCTTGTTTACCAGGGCTGGGTTTGAGGCACAGCACAGAGCGTCATCCCTTGGCTGAGCAATGTTTTGCAGATTTGAGAGCTCGAGCAGACCAGAGTTTAAGCTTTGCCATGTTTTTGTCAGAGTAAAACTCCTCCTCCAAAAACAGAGTGTTGCTTGGGAGAGGCATTCGGCAGCTCCTCTGGCAATGAAAAATCTCTGAGCTCTTGTCACTGGTCGTTTTTTCAGTTTCCTTTCACCCTCATTTCTCGGCAGCCTCTGGAAACATCTACATGAAATATTTGGCTTCTTTGAAATCTATATTCTTCTCTTCCAAACACCTCCACCGCTCCTCAGCGGCTCAACCCAAATGCTCCAAATACTTTTCATTACTCGGTGGTTGCTTTGGGGGGATGTCAGAGGGACAGGTAAAGGAATGGCTTGCTGAAAGGCATGATGTCAAGTGGTAGGTGCAGGGCAGTCCTAGCCCTGGGTAAGGTCACTTGGCTCCAACAAAAGCCACAAGTGAGCACAGACAGCACAAAGAAAGGGATGACCAAAGGCAGCTGCAGGAAGTGGAGGTGGAGACAAAGACTGCAGGTAAGCAGATATGCACAGATATGCAGGTCGTGCAGATAAGCATCCTTTTGGTAAAAATTTAGCACCACAGGGAGAGACAATGGGTCTGTTGCTGGTATATCTGACTGTTAATGGGGCACAGGGGGTCGTCCCTAGCTGGGGGCTGACCCTAGCCGGAGGGGATGACGGCTGAAAGGGAGGAGAGCTGCAGCTAGCACCCACCTCAGGCTCAAGTTTTTATACACAGGACTGCCTTTTTCCCTCCCCAGCAGCAACCCTGTGAGTATGCACAGCTTCCCTTCTGAGTTGGTGCAAGAGAGCTCGTTATTTCCCCTCACCCTCAGTCCCTGAGTCTGCAAGCTTCCACTCTGTGGCGCTCAGCTACACCCCAGATAAGGTAAGATTGCAGGAAAACTCCCTCTAGAGATTTGCAGGACAGGCAGAAAGAGCATCTCTCTCCCTCAAGCTGCAGGTCATAGCACAGCCAGTTATCCATCAAGATGCGAGGGTGACAGAGCTCAGGCATAAGCAGCAATGGAGAAGCTACAGGTTGGCAGGTAACACAGGGTAGGAGGTGGTGACCATAATACTTTATCTATTCTGCAGTACGTTCGATGTCCATACCCTTCTGGGGGAATCTGAGCATTCTCTTCAGGCCTTCAGGAGCCTCTTTCTCCCACCACCGCTGAGTAGGTGAAGAAGGACCGTGGCACAGGACCCCCCGTGCCATCTCACCGCCGAGCTAGCCTCGGTCCTGGGCACGCACTCAGGTTGCACAAGAAGCTTTGGCAGCAGTATGAGGTGTAGGTAGCCAGGCCCAGTCTGAAGTTGTGGTCTGGGCAGGTCTCAGAGCACTTCTTGGTGATCCTTTTCCAGAAAGACAAAGAGCCTTGCCCAAAGAAAGGAGACAGCAGCATTAGCAGTGGGAGTTTGCTCAGTGCTCCTTGATCTCGTACAGGAGGGAGATGGACTAATGAGTCTCACTGTCACCCCACAGCCCCCAGGACCAGCATGGCCAATGAGTCCCACCCCATCCCCACCACTGCCCAATAAGTGCTGGTGACCAGCTACACAAGGTATTCGATATCCCTTCTGGGCACCTGGATCCTCATGGTAAAGCTTTCTTAGGTGTGCGATGGCATGCATGAGACGTTGCTAATGCCTGCACGGAAAGCACATTTCTAGGCTTTTTTTGCTTGAAGAAAATAATTTTATTTCCCTCTATATCTCTCTAAAACTTCTCATCCGCACTGCTTATTTCAAACTCTTTGTCTGATCAAGCTTCAAATTTATTTACTCTCCCTCTGAAGGATCCTCATTTTGTCCTTCTTTTTCTCTCAGTGTCCCCTTTCTTTTCATGCAGGCATGAACCAAAGGCTAAAGAGGAAAATCTCAATACGTGGTGGGAAGGAGGATTTCGAAGCATGCAAACTTCAGCACTGCCAGGCTGGGCTAGCACGGCCTCTACCTCCCGAATGTGCTTCCCCATGACTCCTCATCCTCCATCGACAAAGGGTGACCATAAAAAATCCAAGCAAAACCCCACATCCCCTTCCTGAGTCCCCATCAGAGGATACGCAGCCAGCACATACCAATTCCTACAGAGGCAACATTGGTCACACAGTACTCGTCATTGTCTGAGCACTTCTTGGCCTTCAGACAGTTCCAGTTGTTTTGTTGCCAGTCGCAGGTGTAGCAATAGAGGGCATTTGCTGCAGGAGACACAGGATATGGAAGACAAGACAACATGCTGTCAGTCCTGTCAGTAAAAATTACCGCCTTCTTTCTGTTGACTCTCAAACACATGAGGTGCCAGGCCTGATGAAAGGGATGGGGCTGCAAAAGCCAACCCCAACCCACTCTGCCGTCCTCACGTTTGCGCCTTTACACCCAACACACATGCTCAGATGGTGCAAGTCTGTCCTTCCTACCCTGCACTCTAGATAATAACACGATGGGCCAAGGGCACTGATGTGCCGCAAGGAGCTGGGAAGAAACCTCCCTAAGAATCTACGGGGATGTCCTAAGGCTGTCCCTTCTAGTTGTTGGAAACACTATAACAGAGACGATAGCCAAATAGTGCAGTAAGCATTAGCAGCTGAATAGGTTTAATTGGGACCTCCATAGCCTACAGAAGTCAGTCTCCCACACCTGTGACTTCAGTGTCCTCAAACATACATCTCTTAACTAGATTAAAAAAAAAAAAAAAGTGAGGAGAAGGGATTTTAACTCTTCATTGTGTGAATTCCATCCTAAGACATGCGCAGTCTAACACTTCATTTGTACTGCCGAGGTTACCTAACACGGATTAGGGCAGTCTTCAATTTGGCACTGAAGACAATCTCTCTGTCCCCCGGGCCTTGTTAACACTTGGAAATTTGTCAGAATCGCTCTTCTGGTAAGTGAACAAAGCTAAATAGCAGAAAGGTATTCTTAGGCCACAATGAGACAGAAATAACTATTCCAGGAAATTATTTTTCTGCACCAGACAATGTGGCAAACTTCCAAGCACTGGCAAACCCTGTTCCTCTTTACAAAATGAGGATAACATTTATTGTCTCTGGTTGCTTAACTCTCTTACCTGTAGAAGTTATAAGATCATCTACTTTAAGAAGGCTCTGATTTCATTTGCAATGTGAGATAAAACACATAAACTACAATGCAAATTATATGCAAATATACATCCCCACCCAATATCCCAGCATAAGGCTGCTTAACCCATTTAGCTCCCAACTCAACTTCTCCTTAAATCTCCAACTTCATCCCAAGATCTCTGAAATCAGCAAGCTTGTCGGGTCTCTGAGACGAACAGAAATCAGGGGCGGTCAGCAGGCAGCTGCACAAAGCCAGATGTTGTAGGGCTGGCCCTGTCCCACTGCTGCTGCTAGAAACAGCGTCACTGGCTGCAGTAGGACCCAGACGCATGGAGCTGTAGATGTATTGTAGGCTGAAGCACACTTCTTCATCAAGATTTAGAAGAAAATCATGGTCTTGCATTGTCTCAACAGACAAACTCACTAAAAAGCCTCTTAGCAAAGGCACAGCAGTGGCTACTCCTTCCTTCTTAATGTCTCACTTTTATAAAAACCCACTAGTACACGTGTCTGTAGGGAGATCTCCCCACAGAAAATAAACCTTCCACACACCCAAGATAAGACTACAGATAAGAAAGACAAAGAGGAATGCTGTGTCCTTCAGCTGCAAGAGCTAAGGCACCCTCTCCCATGTCTTTCCCTGACTACGGTGCCTCCCTGGCCTTAAACGTGCAGCTATTCTTTGCCTGGTAGCAAACCGTGATAGCTCACCTTGATTTGCGCATAGGAGCAAAGCCAGCATGGCAAGGAAGGAGGCCCTCATCTTCTCTTGGTCGTCTCAGCAGCCCAGGAGAAACACCCTCACCTGGGGACAGGATATATATATTCCCTGGCTTTGCACTGAGCGATGATGAAGACAACAATTTTGAAAGAGTGGGCAGGGATCACGCGTTATTTGACAGGCTAGGAATGCACATGGGTTGTTTTCTCACCTCAGCATTGCCTTCAGGCTGGTCTAATGGGTCCAGAGAGGAGTGAAAGCACTAAGGCAATTCATTCCATTTATTGCATTTAATACTTTAATTTATCTATGGTCAGGCTAGCAGTGCTATTGATGTCTGAGTGGGGGTTTTCTACTGTTTAGCTCCAATCTGGTCATCACATCTGTGGCCAGATAGTTCAGCGAAGGCAGCTCCTCAGAGCAAAATGGTAATAAGGGGCATAAATTAACGGCTTCATCTGCGTGGACTATTGCCAACTGTATTTCCAGGGTTAGACCTGGAGAACTCCCAATACCTACAGTCAGGGTAGATGTAGCTGTGTATCCATGGTTGGCAATATAAACAGGAAATGTCTTATAATTTCCTGTTTGCCTATAAAAGCTGCTGGTTATCTACAAAGTCCTAAATCCTTTGCCTCCTGCTTCTGAGAGCAGCTGCAGCAAGAGACCAACGGCCTTGTCATTCAAACACAGGAGCAGGGACGCTGGAGGCTGGCTTCCAGCTTTGCAACATCTGAGCAAATGGTGAAAATATCCTTGTCCCCCTTCTACATGGAGCATCCGATTCAAAGTCTTGATAGATACAGGTCAGACATAACACTCCTAGTCTTTATGATTTCTCTGCATGCTTACATCTGGGTGGACCTGGAGCTGATAATTTCAGCCCCTCTGGGGCCTCCGTTTGACTGCCTGTCCCACTTCTGCTTCCAAGGAAAGAGCTGCCAGGCAGTTTGGTGCTAGACATCAGCTGACATCTCTGTGAATCACCACTCACCAAGCCACCAAAGAGCAGAGACAATGAATCAGGAGCAGCCCCTTTGAATAAAGCCACTTGGGCAATCAGCTCTCTCCTTTGCCCCTTCCTTCTCCACCCTGCAAGATTTGGTCTGCAGGACAAAGAAGAGACCCAGCTGTACCTACAGTCTGGAGTTTAGAAGATGGAGATTCAGAAGGAGAAGAAAACATGAGGAAGAAAGAGACCTGATGGATAAGGAGAGGGCTAAAATGATTGGGGGCCAATGTTATTTTCTGGGCAGGAGATCAGTCAGATGAATAAACATCCCTGAGGCAGGGGTCATGGTCATCAGCGTTATTTAGAGGATCTGATGGGACTAGTCATTGCTCAGCACAGCGAAGGCATGGATGGCGGAAGTTCAAAGGGACACCAAAATTCATAGCAACTTCCTTTTGAAGGGTAAAAAAAAAACCCACAGGAGAGGGGATTTTTGGGGTGAGTTTTTTTGGTTGCTTTGCAGATATTTTTGAGGTTTCTGTCAGACGTGTTAAACCATTGGGTCTGCCAATACAGCTGACGTAAAGCAGGATCAACAGGATGGTGAAGTCAGCCCTGATAACCCCGTGAGCACCAACCATTCCTCGCCAATGGACGCACATCTTCTGGGCGTGGAGGGGATAAGCCACATCTCTTACCCAACAGATGAAGTTCTGCCAGACTCAGGGACTGCATGCCACTGTGCATGCCGGAGGAGGTGTGTCAGTCCTATCAGGTGTCACAAGGTAGCAACCGAAGAGCTAGACCTATTCCAGGGAACAAGGATTGCCCAGCATGATTCACTGTGTGGTGGCCTCTTGCAGAGATGACTCTTCGGGGGTGTCTGGACATCAGGCTGGGAAGCCAAGGCTCAGTGTCCTGCAGCAGCAGGAACCCTCCGGCAAGTGTTTGCACTGATAAAGCAGTTTGCTTTAACCTGATTTGTCCTTTTTTTTGAGGAAGAAAGGAAAAATAATTGTGTTATTGTTTACTGTGATTAACTAGGTGCTTTCTTGATATATTTTTTATTTTAGAATCATAGAGTGGTTTGAGTTGGAAGGGACCTTCAAGATCATCTAGCTCCAA